TAGTGAGAAGACGGGTGGGAAGTAAACTGTGGGGCACAGGTAAGGTTGATTTCCTTGTCCATATCTGTTTATCATATGGGTTGCTGTAAATTATACCCAACTCCATGGCACCTAACAACAACCTCAGCTCTGCTGCTTTTACAAGTTCATATACATTGTTTTCATGCCAAATTTTTCCCATTTCCTTCACACCCTTCTCCAGCCATCAAATTGTGAGACCCTGTGATTAACTGCCCTCCTCACCCATCCACCCTCCCCGCCTTGGATCCTCATACGCATGCTACAGTAATGGTCTTATACATACAGTATTTGTCCTTATGGGATTGAGTTAGATAATATAGCAAAATGCTCTCTAGTCCCTCCTGAGTTAGGTAGTGTTGTAGTTGTTGTTGTTGTTGTTATATCTGTCGAGTCATCTGTGACTCATAGTGACCCTATGTACAACAGCCCTAAACTCTGCTCTATCCTGTGCCAAACTCATTTTCTGACACACCTACCCCCATTACTCCAGTCACTGAATCAATCCACTTCATAGAGGGTCTTCCTCTCCTGTGCTGTCCCTCCACCCTCCCAAGCATTACATCCCTCCCCAAGGACTGGTGACTCCTTGCAACATGTTCATAGTATGTCAGACGAAGCTTCAAAATCCTTGCCCCCAAGGAGCAGCCTGGCTTCACCCTCTCCAGGACAAACTTGTTCGTTCTCTTAGCAGTCCGTGGAATATTCACTACTCTTCTCCAGCACCACAGCTTAAAGTTATCAGTTCTCGTTCTAGCCTCCCTAGTCATTGTCCAGCTCTCTGATGCACAGCAACTGATTGCAAAGACCATGACCTTAGTCTCCAGAGTGACACCATTGCTCTTCAATACTCTGGAGAAGTCCCTAACAGCAGACTTTCCCATCGCAATACATCTTTTCATTTCCTGGCTTCTGGTGGCAAGAGTGTTGACTGTGGAGCCAAGAAAACTAAAGCTGTTAGCAATCTCAGTCTCGTCACCATTCATCCTGATGCTGCCATTTGGTCCAGTGGTGAGAATCTTTGATCTTTGTCTTCTTGACATTGAGTCTCAATCCATATTGAAGGCGGCTACAGGTTTTTACCTTCTACAGCAAGTGCTTCCAGGTCCTCCTCAGTTTCAGAAAGCAGGGTTGTGTCATCTGCATAATGCAGATTGTTGATAGATCTTCCACCAATCCTGATGCCACACTTCTCCTCATACAGCCCAGCCTCCCGAATAATCTGTTCTGCATTGAGCAGAGGTTGAAAAGGTATGGAGATAGGACACATCCCTGATGTACACCCTTCCCAATTTTGAACCATGCAGTGTTCCCTTGCTCTGTTCTGATGACTGCCTCCTGATCCAAGTATAGGTTTCACATTAGCATGATCAAGTGTTCTGGGATTCTCATTCTTCTCAGAATCCGCCCTAGCTTGTTGTGATCCACACAGTCACACGCCTTTGCATAATCAATGAAACACAGATAGATATTCCTCTGGTACTCACTGCTTTCAGCCAAGATCCCCCTAACATTAGCTACAATATCGCTAGTACCACAACCCCTTCTAAAGCCACCCTGCACTTCTGGCAGTTCTCTGCTGATGTGCTTTTCCAATCGTTTTTGGATAATCTTCAGCAGAATCTTGCTTGCATGTGATATCAATGGAGGTAGGTAGTAATTTACAAACTCATTGCTCCTGCATTCAGCTTAGTATCCCATCTAGTGAATATATGATAGTATCTTAGTTCATTTGTTTGTGGTTGAACTTTTGGGTTGTTTCCATGTTCTTGTGATGGTGAATAACGCTGCTATGTATATTCCAAGCAGTAGAATAGCTGTATCTGGGTCATATGGAATTTCTATGTTCAGCTTTTTGAAGAAGTACCACACTGCCTTCCACAGTGGTTATACAGTTTTACAGTTCCATCAACAATGTATAAGAGTTCTATCTCACCATATCCTCTCCAACATTTATTATATGCTGTCCTGTTAAATTTTGCCACTGCTAATGGAGTGAGATGAAATCTCATTGTGGTTTTGATTTGCATCTCTCTTATTGCCAGTGATTTTGAGCATTTTTTCATGTGTCTGTCTGCCATCCAAATATCTTCTCTGAAAATTCTTTCCATGTCTTTGAACATTTTGTAATTGGGTTATTAGTCCTTTCCTGTGGAGGCCCTGTAGGCCTCTGTAAGGAAGCGGAAACAGGACCCACATCTCTCAACATACCATGAACGGCTAAGAGAATGATCAGATCAGTCCTAGAGAGGGTGAAATCCAGGCTATTTCTTAGAGGCAAGAATTTTGAAGCTCCATCTCACAAACTTTAGGCATGTTGCCAGGAAGAACAAGTCCTTGAAAAGGGCCATTATAGTTGCAAGGGTGGAGGGACAGCACTAAGAGAGGAAGACTCTGGCTGAATTGACTCAGTGACTCGGGTAATGGGGATAGCTGTGTCAGGGACAGTGAGATTGGCCCAAAATAGAGCAGGGTTCAGAGCTGTATGTTCAGGTCTCTATGTGTCGCTGGTAGCTTGACAGCGCATAACAAGAACAACATACATTTTCTGAAGAACCTTGCTGACACAGTGGTTAAAGCAGTCAGCGGCTAACCAAAAGATTGGTAGTTTGAAACCATCAGTTGCTCCAAAGGAGAAAAAAGATGAAGCAGTCTTCTTTAAAAATTTACAGCTGTGGGAGAAAGGACTGAAGCTGTGGTTTGCAGCCCCTGGGCCAGGCATGAGGCTGGCCAGGCTATGCATAGTGGCCTGGAGATCCTACTTGGCACTTACTACGGCAGCTGCCATTAAGTCTGCAGCACCCATGAGCGTGAGATAGCAAACTGACATGATATCAAGGTGGACAGCTGGGAGAACATGCAGTGTCAGGAGAATCGCTGCAGCCATGGCCCTGATAAAGGTGGGAAACACACTTCCGTCAGTGCTGGTGTTTGAAGGTAGGCCTGGCAAGAAGGTGAACCTGGCAGAGCTGTACAAGGGCAGAAGGGGGTGCTGTTTAGCGTTCCTGGAGCCTTTACTCCTGGCTGTTCCAAGTCCCTTCTGTCAGGGTTTGTGGAGCAGGCCGAGGCAGTGAAGGCTAAGGGAGCCCAGGTGATGGCATACCTGAGTGTCAACGATGTCTTTGGGACTAACGAATAGGGGAAAGCCCACTACACAGAAGGCAAGGTTCGACTCCTGGCTAACCCCACTGCAGCCTTTGGGGAGGAGATAGATTTGCTGTTAGATGATTCATTGGTGCTGCTTTTTGGGAACTGAAGACTCAAGAGGTGACTCAATATGATGGTGTCGTGAAGACCCTGAACATAGAGCTGGATGGCACAGGCCTGACCTGCAGCCTGGCTCCCAGCATCCTCTCACAGCTGTGAGGTCCCAGTCCCAGATATGCTTGCCCTCCCCTCTTCTTGTCTTACTTGCTCAACCCTGCGCAGGAGGCCCCTGCCCACCCTCATCGGGGCCACCCAGTTGGAACCTTGGCCAAATTACTGCAATAAACACTTATGATATAAAAAAAATTAAATTAAAAAATTACAACTGTGAAAATCTTATAGGGTAGTTTTATGTCCTTTACAGTCATTGTGAGTCAAAATTAACTTGACAACAGATTTGAGGGTTTGCATATGGAGAACCCTGAGAGATCAGTAATTAAAGGCTCAGCTGCTAACCAGAACATCAGTAGTCCAAACCTTCCAGCTATTCCGTAGGAGAAAGTTCAGATAATCTGCTTCTAGTTAGATCACAACCTTAGAAACCCTGTTGGGAAGTCTTGTAGGGTCACTATGAGTCAGAATCCACTCGATGGCCATAGGTGTGGTTTCCATAGTTTTTATATCAGAGATCATAGATTTCGTTTCTTATACATGCTTTTAAGGAGCCCTGGAAATGTTGTGTGTACCACACCGGGCTGTTCATGAAAAGGCAACAGTACAAATCCACCAGCTACTCTGCAGGAGAAAGATGAGCAGTGCGCTCCTATAATATTGATAGCCTCAGATGCCTTAGAGTTTGGCTGTGAGGTAGAGGGTTTGAGTATTTAGATACATGCTTTTATAGAGAGTTAAATTTTGTTAAAGATGTATACAATGTTTTGGAAAATCATTCAACTACTTAGTCTTCAGAATATTAAAAAAAGATTAATCATTTACTTGACTTTTCCTTTAATAAAGCATAACTTAGAAATACAAAATAGAGCCACTCTACTTAAAACCTATGAATTACTTTGTTTTTTTTCCCTCTATTATGAATTACTTTGATATGACTTACCAAAGTAATATTTATGTAATTTTAAATTTATGCTAATATGCAAAATGACTTAAAATATACTTATAATTGTAAATAGAATTTTTCTGCTATCAAAATAACAGTATGAAATATGTGAAAATGTCTTATATTGATGCGGGAGAAGAATGAGCAGTCCTGTGCAATTAATTGCCTCTGAAAATCCACTGGAGGGTCAGCTTTGGGTCAGTTCCAATTCAATGGTACACAACAGCAACAACGTATTATTAATAAGGTAAATTGACATAAACTCTCAAGAAGTCAGTTCAATATTTTGAATGAAATTATTTTATTTATCAGTAAATTCTTGGGAGTTTTTCCTAGGGTGCTTACTATTTGTGGTTTTATCCAAGCTTCTACAGACTGACCACTAAAAAACAAAAAAGAAAACACAAGCATTTCAAAGTGCCAGTTTAAAATGGAAAGACTCTTCCAAGCTATTAATGGGCTTTATTTATCATGTAGATAATTTCTTTATAAAATCACTAAATTACCTAAATGGTAGAATTGTTTTTACATTTTTTTCGTTTTGTTGTTGATTGCCTTCAGGTCGAGCACGACTCATAGCAACTTTATGAACAAAAGGCTTGAAGTCTTTCTATAACTACTGACATCAAAGTTCATATCAAAATTCTTTCATTTAGTCAACACAATTAAAAGTATTTTGCATAGTCCAACTTTGTATACTTTTTTTCCTTAACTTTAGGTTGCTATGGGAAGAACAAATATGGAAGACTTAGACCTCTGTGCAACATCACGAGAGAGGCGATTCCGTTTATTTGCTTCTATAGAATGTGATGGGCAATTGTTTATGACTCCATATGATTTTATTTTGGCTGTTACAACAGATGAGCCCAAATGTAAGTATGCTTTTTAAAATCATCTTTTAAGATCCTACCCCAAACTCTAGTTTGTAAAAAGAAATTTGTTGTTGTTCAGTGTTATTGGAACAGTTCCAAACTCATGCTGACCCTGTGTGCAGTAGTTCAACTCTGTCCCTCATGTGCACCATCATCACAATCTCACTTAGGCTTAGGACCCTACTTGCAGTCATTGCATCACTCCATTGCATTGAGTCTTCCTTTCCTTTGTTTCCAAGCACAGTGTCCTTTGGGAGTTTCCTCCTAACAACATACACAGAGTGTATTAGATGAATTCTTCCCCTCTTTACCTCTAAGGAGCACCCTGCCTGCATCTTGTCCAAGACAGATGTTTGTTCAGAATATACTGTTCACAATATATTCTGTAGTCTTCAAACGCATCATTTCCTCTATGTGTTGTTTAAGGTTTGTTTTTGTTGTTGTTATGTGCCGTCGAGTCGTTTGCGACTCATAGCGACCCTATGTACAACAGCCCTAAACTCTGCTCTGTCCTGTGCCAATCGCAC